AACACTCAATGAGATTGAAGCACTAATCAGCAGTGTCTCAACAAGGAAAAGCCCAGGCCAAACGGAATTCCACCAAACCTTTAAAGAGGAGTTAACACCAGTTCCCTTCAAACTATTCCAAAAAACTGAAACAGAGGCCATTCTCCCAAACTCATTCTATGAGGCCAGCATCACCCTGACATCAAAACCAGACAAAATACAATGACAACAACAACAAAAAACTGCAGGCTAATATCTCTAAAGAACATAGACACCAAAATCCTCAACAAAATATTGGCAAACAGAATACAGCAACACATCAAAAAAATTATACACCGTAATCAAGTGGGATTCATCCCAGGGATGCAAGGATGGTTCAACATAATGCAAGTCAATAAAAGTGGTTCACCATATCAACTTAATCAAGGACAAAACCCATGTAATTATCTCAACTGTCACACAAAAAGCATTTGACAAAATTCAACATCCCTTTGTGATAAAGACTCTCAGCAAATTAGGCATAGAGGAAAAGTATCTCAACACAATAAAAGCCATACATAACAAACTCACCACCAATATTATCTTGAATGGGGAGAAGCTGAAAGCTTTTCCCTTAAGAACAGGAACAATACAAGGATGCCCCCTCTCGCCATTCCTATTTAACATAGCATTGGAAGTACTAGTCAGAGCAATCAGGAGAAATTCAAGAGAAAGAAATGAAGGGCATCCAGATTAGAAAAGACAAAGTCAGACTGTCCATGTTTGCAGATAACATGATCCTACATATAGAAAACCCTAAAGACTCTACCAAAAAATTCTTAAAGCTGATAATTTCAGTATAGTTGTAGGATACAAAATCAAAACAGAAAACTCAGTAATGTTTTTATACAACAACAAACTAGCAGAAGAAGAAATCAAGAAAGCAAGCGCGTTTACCCTAGTAACAACAACAGAAAACCCCTAGGAATAGATTTAACCTAGGGGGTAAAAGATGTGTACAATAAGAACTACAAATCACTGCTGAAGAAATTAAAGAGGACACAAAAAGATGGAAAGACATTCCATGGTCTTTGATTGGAAGAATTAACATTGTGAACGTGTCCATACTACCCAAAGCAACCTACAGATGCAATGCAGTCCCCATCAAAATACCAATAACATTCTTCACAGAAAAAGCAAAAACAGTCCTAGCTATGTGGTGTAACGTGGTCACAGCTTCTGAAGATTAGTATGTGGGCGCCTCTTAGAGACCAGTATTCTGCCTGCCACACCGGTGATCTGACTTTTGTCCTCTGGCTACTTTTAAAATCTTCTCTATCTGTGGTGGTTTATCTTTGGTGTGTATTTCTTTCTTTTTAAGTTTTTATTAAAGTGTTATATACATAACAAAAAAGGCACATGTGTGTATACCATCAGAAGCATTTTCAACCAATTGGACATGTCTGTGTTACTAGTATCCAGAACAAGAAATAGACCTCCCCAAAGCCCCCCAGGGTGTCCTGACTTCTAGAAGCGTGGATGGATGGATTTCGCTTGTTTTTGCACTTCCATGAAGGAGTCGTGCAGCATGTACGCTCTCGTCTGGTTTTCTCGGCTCATCCGGTTGTGGGTTGCTTGTAGCTACACTTCATTCGTATGGTTTGTGGTGTTGCTTGTGGCTACAGTTCATTCTTACAGTCCATAGTGTTGCTGTAGTTTGCTCATACAGACCCTCCCCCTCGACACACTCAGCCCGCCTTGACTCAGTTTGTCCTCCACTCTGCAGCAGAGTGAGGGCTGCAGAGCAGAGCCCATTTGTCTCACCCCCTGCCTGAGCCCCCTGCTGCAGTGAAAACTCCAGTGACTCTACTTCATTTTTCTCTTCGGTTCCTCATGAGATAAAACAAAGTCACCTGAAGGAGATACTTACGCTTAATATTATGAGCATGATCCATAAAATGAACATGATGAGATCATGTGGTTTTGAGTGTTTTTAGGTTGAAGAAGTGAGAAGCTAATGCCAGTTAGAAATCTGTTGGGGGAATAAATGTCCACTGGAGCAACCTGTATTCCAGGTAAATTCTCTGGGCAGCAAGTATAGGTTTTAAGCTGCTTAATTAGTGATCTTTATTGGTAAATTGCTCAACTGTCATTAGTTGATAGTCTCTTAGAGCTGTCAGGAGGCAGACTTGGTTCACGTGGTGGCTGTTCCTACCTGCTTTTTCCCATTGGGGATGCACCTTCCATCAGGCATTTATCCATGAATTGATGTGGGCTTCATTCTAAGTTTCTCCTTCTAGCGCTGACCTCAGAGAGTAGGGTGGATGGAACTCTCACTAAAGAGGAAAATATATCTAATATATTTTGGTCTTCTGATCTGAGCTCCATGCCAGAGTTTCTGGCAGGGGATGGATATCCTCAGTGATAACCTGAGCAGTCACACCTGGCATTTGGAACTGGTACCCAGCATACTCGCGTGTTCAGTTAGAGGTTATAGATGCAGGAACAGGTCACTGTAAACACAAAGTGACAAAACCAGGATGCCGAATGCATTCGTGAGTTGCTGGTGGTGTGCCAGGGTGGGTGCTAAGCAAGCTTTGTTTCTGTAGCTCCACTCTTGGGAGATACAAATGAGAGCATGTTAACACTGGGTAGAGGACAAGGACCGTGTCCCGAGCATCCTCCAGGGGAGGGGAGAGGTCAATGCCCAGTGTTCAGGACTTACAGTTGCAGGGAGAGTTCACATCGCTGCTGCATGTGGCACAGCTGCTCGCGTTCTCACCTGTCTTTTTTCAATTTTTCACACAGATTTGAATTTCATAGGCTTTCTGAAGAAAATTCTTTGTTGAAAAATGATCTGGGAAGGATTCGACAAGAGCTGGAAGCTGCAGAAAGCACAGATGATGCACAGAGGTAAGGGCTGCGTCCCAGAGGTTCCCATCTGGCTGTCAAGTCCGTGACGTGTTTTGTTCTCTGTGGAGTGAACTCTGTGGAAGGTGCTGACACGGGAAGTGGGACATGTTTGCAGGTCACCCCGTGTTCCAGAAACCCTTGGTGGGTGAGCCTGGTTCACTTCTGAACAGACCCAACAGGCATGGGGACCTGACCTCCTTCCACGTGCAGCCCCCTTAACTCCTGGTCTCAGAAGTGTGAAGCAGAGACTGCATGCTGCCGTGTGGCCAGTACCATGTGAGCATGTCCAGCACACGCCCACTTGTCCCAGAGACCGATGTACATGCACTTCTCACCCGTACAGAAATTCTCTGCATAGCAAGCACCTGGGCGTTGGGGAGGCCCCAAGTGTTTTTGGAAGGATAAGAGGTGTTCCTGGGGCCCTCCTGGGCAAGTGGAATCTGTCTGATGATGTCTTGATAACTGTTTCAGCTGTGCTTTTCTGCAAGATTCACTGCTGGCATAGTGATTTCAGTCAGTCAGGGCAGGGGTGCGACCATCAGAGAAGGTCAGGGGCAGGGACGGGGAGTGCCGTCAGTGAGGGGCAGGGCAAGGGGCAGGGCACTGTGGAAGGGGAGAGAGTATGTTTTGGAGAGGTTGGATTTCTGTTGTCACTACTGTAGCTGCCAACGACAGTTTGGCTTTTTTTTT